AACCAAAATTCAGCTAAGCTCGAGATCAACAAGTTCGACAATCCAAACTAGCCCTTTTACCTCCATCATTCCGACCAACCCGGCCTTGTGTTTGTCATGCAGCGGCTAAATGAAGAGAATTAGAGTACTTGGAGCCATGCAATGCTCATGGCTCTCAATATCAAGAACAAGGCAGGCTTTGTTAATGGTAGCATCAAACGACCACAAGAGACTTCCATCATGGAACTTCAACAGTGGAAACGTTGTAATGATCTTGTGAGAGCATGGATTTTTAATTCAATCCCACAAGATGTTGGAGCAAGCATAATCTATAATGAAAATGCTCATGAAATCGGTCCGACTTAAAGGAGAGGTTTTCTAGCGCTAACAGTGTCCATCTTTTTCATATTGAAGAAGCCATCCATAATTACAAAAAAGACAACATAAACATTAGGGCTTATTACACCAAACTCAAAGGCCTATGGGATGAACGGGATGCATTGAATTGTATACCAACGTGCACATATGGTACCGTAAAAGAAGTTTTATAGTTTTAGCAAAGTCAAAAAACCATGAAATTTCTTATGGGACTTAATGAAGTTTATGTTAGTGCTTGAGGATAGATTCTTCTCATAGAACCACTTTCTAGCGTCAACAAGGCTCATTCACTCATCCTTCAAGATGAAAAGCAGACGAGGTATGTCAAAAGAAAGTGTGCCTTTAACTAAGACTTCGACCTTTATCGTTAAGAATAATTCAAGAAATTATGAGAGGAATTTCACACCTAAAAATCCTCATCCGAAATGAGCAATCTGTGATAAAATTGGGCACACCTTAGAGACATGTCAAGCACATCTTAAGTGTGACTATTGCGGATGGGAAGGTCACACTATTGATATCTATCGTAAACGAAAAAAAGGCAAGTATCACAAGGAACAAGTCTTATAAAAAAGAGAGCAAAAATCCTTCATCAACGACCAATCATGCATCTATTACTCCTACACCATATGCCTTCACAACGAAGCAATATGAAGGACTTATGACACTCCTTAATGAAAGTAAGTCCAATTCCATGGCCAATCATGCTCGGAGGTATATCTACCATAAACAACATATCGTGTACTATTTCATGTGCTTCTATTATTGATAAATAAGTTCTTTGGATACCCGACACGGGAGCTACTAATTATATGGTTTGTTCTCCTACATTGCCGACCACAAACAAACTCTAAATCTACCCAATGGAGCTACGATTCGTCGTCATACACATAGTGCAACATCCGTTTTGTAGACTTTATTTTACATGATGTGCTATGTGTTTCATCTTTCAAACTAAACTCGATTTCTATTAGCAAACTCCTTTGCAGCTCTAACTACATTGCCATTTTCACTAATATTGATTGTATGCTAAGGACCAACGATCGGGAAGATGATTGGGATGGGAATTGAGCGAGGAGGACTCTACTACCTTGATGCTTTCATAAAGAACTAGGTGTAACACGATCACCATACCATTCTCATTAACCTCGAGGCTTTAGCATCAATGTCTTGGCCATCTATCAAATAAGTCTTTCCATTTGCTCTCTCAATTTAATTCAAACATTAATTATTATGACATTTTCGACTATTCAATTTGTCTATTAGCAAAACAAATTGTTCTTCTTTTACTTTAAGTTCTATTCGTACCAAAATACCTTTTGAATTGATTCATGTTGATATTTGGGGAGGTTATCATATTTCTTCCATTACAAGAGTAAGATATTTTCTTACCATTATTAATGATTATACTCATTGCACTTGGATTTATTTGATGCATCATAAATCGGATACCTTAAGATACATTACTATGTTTTTAAATTATGTTGAAACATAATTTTCATTGAAAGTCAAAATTCTTCACAATGATAATGAACTCCGAATTTATAATGAAAAATTTTTATTCCAAAAAAGGCATCATTCACCAATCTAGTTGTGTCTCTACCCTACAACAAAATGAAGTAGTCGAGAGGAAACACCATCACCTCCTTAATATAGCTTGAGCCCTATTATTTCAAGCCAATCTCTACAAGCAATTTTGGGGTGAAACCATTTTGATTGCTCGCCTATCTCATTAACCAAACTCTTACACCTCTTCTTTAAGGGAAAACACCTTTTGAACGGCTATTCCACAAACAACCTACATATGATCACTTGTGAGTATTTGGTCGCTTGTGTTTTGCTTTCACACATCACTATCGTCCCACAAAATTTGATGTTAGAGCCACAAAGTGCATTTTCTTAGGATATCCTTATGCTAAAAAAAGATACAAAGTTTATGATATCTCCAATGGTAATTATTTTTATTTCCCGTGATTTCATTTTTTATGAAAATATCTTTCCTTCGCCATCCTCCGTTGCCACCTTTCCTCTTATATCTTTGCATTTACCACAATGTGATGATGACGGACTCGCTTCACCAAAACTTAATAATATCGATGCATCTCTATCCGAACAAACAATACCTTCCCATTCCACTACCGACATTTCTCACCTAGAATATCCTTTTCCTTCAAATGATGAACCTATTCAAGAGTCACCTCCTCAACCACCACTTCATTCCCAACGGCTAACTCGTTCCACAATAGTTCCTAGTCACCTTTGTGAGTATCAAGTTAGTGTTTCTCTTCCCTCTAGAAAGGTCCCATCATCTCACTCGGCCTTGGTTTAAGTTGTAGGTATTTGCCATTCTTTATCTAATGTACTTTCATATGATCGATTATCTCCCAAACACCATGCTTTTACTATTTCTCTTTCAGCAAAAAAAGAACCATCCTCCTTTACACGAGCGAGCTTGTGATCCTAAATGGCGTCTTGCTATGCAATAAGAGTTGGATGCCCTCAATTCTAATGGCATATGGTTTCGCAATCTTTATCACCTAGAAAGAAGCCCATTGGATGTCAATGGGTATATAAGATCAAACTCAAATCAAATGGCTCGTGGAACATTACAAAGCTAGACTAGTTGCTAAAGGATATAACCAAGTCGAAGGCCTAAATTGTCAAGAGACTTTTGCCCCGTTTCGCAAAGCTTGTTATCGTTCGTCTTCTCTTTGCCGTGGCTTCCACCCATGGCTTTCACCTTTATCAACTTAATATAAATAATGCCTTTTTACATGAAGAGCTTGATGAGGATGTTTATATGAGTTTACCTTCCGGTTTCGGACAAAAGTGGGAGACACGAGTATGCAAACTTCGCAAATCATTGTATGGCCTTAAGCGAGCTTCACGTCAATGATTCCTTAAGCTTTCTTCTCGCCTTCAAGAAAGATAAATTCAAGTAATCTAAATGAGATTATTCTCTATTCATTCGATCCCATAATGGTAAATTCATTGTTCTTCTTATTTATGTAGATGATGTCATTTTGGCGAGAAATGATCTGCAGGATATCGAAGACACCAAGTTGTTCTCGAGGCGCCAATTCAAACTCAAAGACCTAAGGCAATTAAAGTATTTTCTAGGCATGAAGTTGCACGATCCAATAAGGGCATCTCTCTATCACAACGAAAGTATGCACTCGAGATTCTTAAAGATATAAGGTATGTTGGAGCAAAACCAGACTTCATTTCCTTTGGTGCAAAATATATCTCTTAATAGATTTGAAGGTAACTACATTGATGATCCATCTTCATACCGAAGGCTCATTGGATCGGTTAATTTATTTAACTATTACACGACCCGACTTGACATATGCAATACATGTGTTATGTCAATTCATTGACAAACCATGGGTACCATACTTAGAAATAGCTCATCGTGTCTTATGGTATGTAAAGCAAACACCAAGACAAGACATTTTCTTTCCCACAACTAGCTTAATCCAGTTAAATGCCTTTTGTGATGTGGATTGGGCTAGGTGTCGTAACGCTTGACGATAAGTTATCGAGTACCGCATATTTCTTGGAAGCTCATTAATCTCATGAAAGACCAAGAAACAAACAACATTATCACGATCGAGTGCGTAAGTTGAGTATCAATCTATGGCCTCAACTTGTCGTAAAATTACATGGTCGAAGACGATCCTACAAGATTTAGGCATTGAACATTCACATCCCGTTAATCTATACTCGTGACAATCAAGCTACACTCCACATTGCTTCGACCTAGTTTACCATGAACGAATAAAACATATAGAAACCGATTGTCATCTTATACGAGAAAAGGTCCGAAGGATTGATCGGGATGACTCATATATCCACATCAAACCAACCAAGTAGACGTTTTTACAAAACCGTTGAGTTCTTCACATTTCTCGACTTTACTCAACAAGTTAGGAATTATTAACATACATTTCAAACTTGAGGAAGAGTTTTAAGGAATGTGAATCAATATGTTAAGGAAGAAGATCAAGGAATTCAAGTGTATAATATCCAATCGATATGGATAATCAACTTTCTTTAATAGCAACTTGATCTTAGGATTGTAAATAAGAAACTATATCATATATGCTTTATTCTAGGAGTCAATATCGGTATATATATTATCTTATTTTATGAATGAAATAAACATAAATAACTCCTTTCGACCTTTCTTTCTAGTCACTTAATTTGGGGTTAGGGGAGTTAACTTATTATCGATTAGATTTGTATTTATGTCGATCGGGAAAATGAATTTAATTTAGATACAGAAACAATGATTAGATGTTACCTGTTTTGTGAAAAAGAAAAAAATAAAAGAAGAAACCAAAAATCAACAAATTCTCGAATGTTAAAACAGCAAAGCAGGAAGTAGGTCCCGGCCATCAAATAGAAACTCGATCCACGTGTCAAAATCCTAACACCATCACTTCCTCCACGTCATCACCTCCCCCTCTCTCTAGTCTCTACTCTCTCCAGATTCTTTGTATTATCGGCGGTCAACGAATCAATCAAAATAAAAACACCCTTATATCCCTCAAAACGGCACCATTTTAAGCTCTCCAAAAAATAGAGAGTTGCAGAACCGGCGGTTACTACCAGTAGTGGATTCGTTATCGCGACGGTGGATGGGGAGGATGGGGAAGACGTACTCGGTGAATCCAAATGATTATAAGTTACTAGAAGAAGTAGGATATGGAGCGAGCGCTGTTGTTTATAGAGCGATCTATATTCCGTTTAATGAAGTCGTCGCTATTAAGTGTTTGGATCTCGATCGTTGCAATAGTAATCTGGTTCGTTTACTTTTGTTTCACTGTTTTGACTCATTTTTTGACTTAATTTCTGATAATTTGAAGTGGTTATTGAGTGTGATTTAAGGTTAGATCGTATTCGATTTTGATCGAATTGTGAATTTTGTGGTGTTTTTAGCTTTGAAGGAGGTGTTATTGAGTAATTATAGTCAACAGAGAGGGATTGATTGAGATTTAAGTGATAATTGGATTCATTATTGTGATGGTTACTGAATTTGAAATTGATTCGTGAACTTTTTGTTAAGGTAGCGGACTTGATTCTATATAGTATCGGGTTGTTAATTTATGATAAATTTTTGTAAACTTTTCACTTTGAATTATAGATACAAGTAAAATTTTCGATGAATTTTGATTTTAGAATTTCGAAGTTTTATTGCATTTGAACTTATTCTTAATGAATTTGAATATGATTTGTGATTTTAGTTAATACTGGATCAAAATGGAAAACTTTGGTGGACTGGAAATAATTATTTTCAGAATACTTTTCATATCTAATTGTATATACTTACAAGTCAGCCTTCTTAATTTAGTAGGTGAAAGTAAGATTTTTGATAAAAATCGATGCATTTTGAAGTTTAATGCACTAACATTTACTGATTGACACAGCACTTACTGTGAAGGAAAACATTTCGGATTATGGCGATGCGGACTCTGATCATATTATTTAATACTTACAATCATGGAATGGAATAATTGATAAAGCACTGATTACAAGTCACAATGTTAGTTGGTGATAGAAGTAACTAAAATTGTTGGTATCTCTTGGGCTAACATTTTGGAGCTGAATATAAGAATTTGTCAAACTTGAGTTGTATGTTGGTAAAATGGAACTCTGGCACCACTTGCTTTCTGATCGTAGTGATACAAAACCCAGAAAAAGGATGTGCTTGGAAGTTATTATTGGATATTTGGAAGACTCCAGCTCAGTGTTTGTGTGTTTGCCCTGGTAGTAGATATCTGCAGTAGTTCTATTTGTTACACACTGCTCTTCTTACTGATTTTCTTTGTGTATGCTGTTCATAAATGCATTTCATGGCTTGTTTAGGTCTCTATTTGATGAACTTATTTTAATGTAGGATGACATAAGGAGGGAAGCTCAAACCATGAGTTTGATAGATCATCCAAATGTTATTAGAGCATATTGTTCGTTTGTTGTTGACCAAAATCTATGGGTGGTCATGCCGTTCATGGCCGAGGGTTCTTGTTTGCACCTCATGAAGATAGCATATCCAGAAGGATTCGAGGAGCCTGCTATTGGTTCTATTCTGAAAGAAACTCTTAAGGCTTTGGAGTACCTGCATCGACAAGGGCATATTCATCGGGATGTTAAGGTCGGTAAAGCATTAAGATGGCACATTTATTTTTTATCAGATGATCTAAATTTCTCTTTTTAATTTTCAACACTATGTTGTCTCATGTTAACTTTTATGTGTGTCAATTGTTCTTTCAGGCTGGAAACATTCTACTGGATACCAATGGGATTGTAAAGCTTGCTGACTTTGGTGTTTCAGCTTGCATGTTTGATACAGGTGATCGACAGCGTTCCAGAAATACTTTTGTGGGGACTCCATGCTGGTAAATTTAATCAGTAACAATATATATATGTAATTTGAGTTTTGAGCTGTATTTTACTGGAAAGTATTCTCTACCTTGCACTTAAACTTTCAAATTGCAGGATGGCACCTGAGGTTTTGCAGCCAGGAAGTGGATATAATTCCAAGTGAGTTCTTGTTATTAACGTAATTTGTGATGTTAGATTCCCCTGATTGCAACTTATGAAGCTATGTTTTCATCCACGTTTTGTGTTCACAAAAACTTTTGTCAGCGATTGCCATGTCCTAAATCTGGGTTTGTGCATATATTTGCATCCTTGTGTGTGCAAACCTTACAAATGAGTTAGTAAACCTTTTGTGCTTGTTTTTTGGACAACAGAAGTTCTCATGATACTTTTACTTCTTTATTTTGGAGGAAATCTCTCACACTGTTTTTTTTCCCCCGTTGATATCATTTTTTTTTCTTTGTTATATCAATGTGGGGCAAACTTATACCTTTATCGGTTGAAGAAACTGACTATGACTTAAATTGGAAAAAAAAAAGAGAGAAAGAAAAAGAAAGAAAGAGAACTCGTATAAGCTTGTTTCTTGATTGCTTCTATCTTCCTGTACAGGGCTGATATTTGGTCATTGGGTATAACGGCACTTGAGTTGGCGCATGGCCATGCACCTTTCTCAAAATATCCTCCAATGAAGGTATTTCCATTTATTAGGATTCAACAAGAATGTTCACTAAGATACAGCTTCAACTGGGGAAGCTCTCATTTAAGTGGCTCACTGAGATACTTTTTCTTTTCCTGTTACTTTTCATTCTGTTAGGTTCTTCTCATGACCATACAGAATGCTCCTCCTGGTCTTGATTATGATCGTGATAAAAAATTTTCTAAGGTATTGAAATTCTTTCTTGCTATATTTTCACAACAATTCATCTACTATCTGAAAATGCATTTATATACAAGATTAAGTGCATTGTTCTCTTTGTTGGTACCTGGTGAAATTGTCAAAGGGCCTCTAGTATAGCTGTTCTCAGTGATGTTTTTCTTTTTTGGCCACATATATTAAGATTCTAATCTGAGGATTTCCAGTTGTGATCAGTCTTTTAAAGAAATGGTTGCAATGTGCCTTGTGAAAGATCAGACAAAGAGGCCAACTGCTGAGAAGTTATTAAAACACTCTTTTTTTAAGAATGCAAAGCCTCCAGAGCTTTCTGTGAAGAAGTTGTTTGCAGACTTGCCCCCACTTTGGAATCGTGTGAAAGCTATTCAGGTTAGCAATCATGTTGCTACAATGCTTGATTTGTGCCTCATGTTTTTATGGTGAGGTTGTTTGATGAACTTGCTGAAATATTGCAGCTTAAAGATGCTGCACAGCTGGCTCTAAAGAGAATGCCTTCAGCAGAACAAGAAGCATTGTCACAGGTTAGCACACTTATCAATGTCATAAGATGATGCTTTTCGTCTGGGTAATGGATGCACTTGCTGAGGCTCATCATACATTGTTTTCCTAGCAAAGCCTTCTTCATTAACTTCTTCCTAATAGTTTTCCTGCTTGGTTAGATTACACAAGTTTAATGTTCATTTCACCACCCTCAGCTGTTCTTATACATGATTTTTGGTTATAATATTCAGTCCTTTAAGTTCGTCCCACTTTGGGGCTCTACATATGTCCACTGCTTGTCAAGACACTAACAGATGACTAATACTGAACAGTGTCCTCTGGTCCCATAATCAAACAATATCCCTTTTCGTTCTTATCCTTGAATGAGTCCACCCTTAAAATGTTTCTTAAGCTTTCCCTAGAATGTTTTAAACCAGAAAACTCCTAATCCATCAGAAGCCATTTGATCAGGAGAATAAAATATGATCACATAACTTCTAACTATAGAACCTGTTGGAATAAAAGAAATGGTTCAATTGAAACAAAAAATTCTGGGTATCTACACTGCTGCTGATGATTTTGGCTCTAACTTTCTTCATGGCTATTTGTACCTTGAGATTAGTATTATGAAACATGGTATTAGTTTTACTTTTTTTACTATCTTCACCAAAATGTGGTCCTTGACTTGTTTTTGCCACCCAATCCCACTGTAGAACCAAGCTGACAGTACACCCAATCCCACTGTAGAACCAAACTGACAGTACAGACAAATATAGGCACATATTCTTTTCCCAATAAAGCCTGTTGATATTAATTTTGTGCCAATAATAACATCTATAATCTCTTCTGATTTGTGAAATGTTATCTTTCAAAATCTTAGATAATGGCATCTGCTGTGCCTTGATATTTAGTATGAAGTGTTAAGAACTGAAAGTATGATTAAGGACAAACAACATCATAGGTCAAATGTATTTGTACGTGCTACTTTCTTTGTTATTTCTTTCTTTCTGATCTTTTATGTAATGACTTGTCTTACCCTCATCAGAGTGAGTACCAACGAGGAGTTAGTGCCTGGAATTTTGACCTCGAGGATTTGAAAGCCCAAGCATCACTAGTAAGCTACCTATCTAAATGCTTCATTTAATGAAGCTGCATTTTTGTTTTTAGTAGTAGTAGTATTTTCTTGTTAGTTATACAATTAGGAGATAATTGTGCCTTTTCTGCTAGGTGCGAGATGACGATCACGATATACCAGAGATGAGGGAAGAAGATGAAAGCATTAAGTTTGGTGGTGATAAGGTAATAAATGAATCACTGAAGACTTCTTTTATTAATTTGAAGTTGTCGCCATTGTCTGCCATCTTTACTTCTGCTCCTTGAAGTGCCTCTCTTGCATTGGGAATTTTTTGGTTTTCAAGCAAGTGATCTTGTATGTTGTTTGCAGGCTGCCACTGGTTCCCAATCTAGTTCAGTGAAAGTAAATTCAAATAGTGAAATACAGCAGCCTGAGTACAGAAGACAATTAAGTGGGGGTGAATTGTCTCAGGCTGATAACTTCAATAGGAAAGGGAAGTTACAGGAAAGTGACTTGCTGGAAACCAGTAGCCAGGAAAAAGTCGGGTGGAAGAGAAATGGATCAAACGCTGAAGCAAAGGCTTCAACATCAGAAAATGACATGATGCAGGCCAAGGCCAAAGCAGTGAAAGGTCGCCAAATCCATAGTGGGCCTCTCATGCCTGGCACTGTAGTTTCTCATTCATTGTCAGAAAGGGGGCGCACTTCTGAAAGGTTTGTCTTCTTCTCTTTTGGTTTGTCTTACTGCATTAACTATGTCTCAATTGGAGTTGTTTGAAATATTATGAGAACTGTAGTAGTTTCATGGGTGTTTTTATTTGTCAAACCTGTGTTAATGGTGGTACTTAATGGCCCCCCACTCTGTAATTGACAGTTTGAGTCGTAACCCTAGTCTGTTTTGCAAACTTGTGAAAGGAAGGCTTTGGGTTCAATAAGTTGAATGACGTGTAGTTTATTCAGCATTGGAAATTATTTTAAGATATGATACTATAGGTTGCCTGGTGGTTTGTTGAACATGATGTGATTGTAATAAATTGTAACATACGTTTTTTACCTGAAAAATGTCAGGTCCTGAGAAAGATCTTCCATTACTATTTTATTGACAGTTCAATTTGTCATTTTCTATTTTTGATGCAACATTCTTTTTGCAATGGGATATTTGAAAGAAGATATCAATAAAAGAAAACAATTTATTACATGAGTTGTACATTTGATTTGCCTTCAATTACTTGATACTTGTTTGTTACATTCTCTTTCACCTTTTTTAGGCAGAACCTTAAGTGACAAGTAGCAGAAAAGATGTGGTACAGTGGCTTTCTGGGAGTTGAATTTTGACCTACTTTCCTTAGTATATAAATGAGGATAAAAGGTCCAATCCCTTCTGGATGTCTTTGTTAAGCAAAACTAGTTGGTGTAAATACTAATTTACTTGAACTTGAATTTTTGTGCACAAGTGCATGGAACTAGTGGATACTTCGTGTCTCTAGATTTCTGTATGCTCCAAATTTGAAATGATCTGGCTCTTGTCTGTTTATTAATAGGTTTGAGAATGAAAATCAGCCCACAGCTGAAAGAGCTACCCGTGAGGTTCGAAAAGCTCCCAGCTTTAGTGGTCCTCTAATGCTTCCAAATCGAGCTTCAGCAAACAGTTTATCAGCTCCCATTAAATCTTCAGGAGGTACAAAAATCACAGTTTATAATTACCATGGTTATCATTATTGCTATTCGTTTTCCCTTTTCTGTTGTTATCATAATCAGCAAAAAGAGCTAGAACTTACTGCTATCAAATAGTGCTGCTAACATGGCTTATGGATTTGGTATCATTACTTGTTTCCCATATTAGGATTTAGAGATTCTTTGGATGACAAGTCAAAGACAAATCTGGTCCAAATAAAGGGGAGGTTCTCAGTTACATCAGAAAATTTAGATCTTGTAAAGGTAACACTCCATTCTTATGACATGCTATCTTATTATCCGACTTTCACTAACTAAAGAATGTGCCCTAGGATATTCCATTAAGTACAGTTCCACGCCGGTCTTCACAAGTAGGTGGCTCATCTTTACCCAGTAGTTTTCAGTAGCTACTCATGTTGTCTGCTTCTCACTTGATGTTTTGTTGTGATTTTCAGTCACCACTGAGAAAGTCTGCTAGTGTTGGTGATTGGATGTATGAGCCTAAGCAAATGGTACGTGCATTGACCTTTCGGTCTGAATATATCTAGCTCTTGATATTGATCAAACAAATTTTACCACATATATCGTAAGTTTATGATATTTTTTTTCCTTGAAAGACACTGGAGTATAAGTTCCCACTGAGTCATTGTCTTTAGAAACGAGGTTAGGTGTGGTTTTGCTCTTAATTCCAATAAGGCAAATCAATGCCATGTCATGCTCTTTTGTTTTTTGTTTTTTGTTTTTTTTTTTTCCTTTTCCAGCCTGTGAATCAGTCACCAAAAGATGTTAGTAACAATAGTGTTCCTGTATTACTCTTGCCTCATCTTCAGAATCTTTTTCAGCAGACCACAATTCAACAGGTAAAACAGCACACTTACAGTTGAATGTTGTTTTTCCTTCCAAGGTTTGTTTGCCTTGAATTCTGTAAAATTAAAGCCAGTTATTCTTTTAATCAGAATTTTTTCTTTTTCTGATTCCAGGATATTATTATGAGTTTATTGAATAGCTTGCAGCCAGCTGAGGCCGTAGAAGGTAAGTAAAATATCTGTTAATGCATGCTATTTGGTCTGATTTTAGGGGAGATGCAATTGAACAAAGCTATTTTGTTTCAGCTGCTCAAAATGGGAAGTTGCCACCATTGCCTCGTGGTTCAGAGAATAATGGAAGCGTAAGCAGATTTCCCATCTATAATGTAGCTCTTTCCCAACTCTTGGGTTTCAAATCTTGTGTATAAGTACATCCTTTTGTAAGATCCAGGTTTCTCTTCAGTGGTGATGTTTTAGTGGGACTTGGTAGCATAAACAATGGGTCATACAACTGAACTTGTGTTGGTTCAATTTTTCATAGGAGGACACTTTTTTATGAAAATTGATTTTTGATTATTTCTTTTGTATTTCCTGTCTCTTTCATAGTGACTGGTTGGGTTGCCGTGTCATGATTCCTCATTGTGGAATATTCCCAAAGTCTGATCTACTCATTCTCACAGGTTGAAGCAGCACCCTCTGAGAGGGAGAAATCATTATTGATCAAGATCACTGAGCTTCAAAATAGGTTTTGATCACTTATCCATTCCTTTTTGGTTTTATATGCATGTAGGTTTGTTTAATGTTCTCACTCACATGTTGCAGAATGATGAATTTGACTGATGAACTGAATGCTGAAAAGCTAAAATATGTGCAAGTAAGTTTCTTGTGAGGATCAATTTCGTTGCGTTTTCTCTCTTTTATTATCACACTGGTAGAGACGTAGGATGATTTCTAACCGGTGCCTCACCCCTTCTTTCATGATGGGCTAAACACAAAACAGTTGAATCTGTAAATACATTTCTACTCTGTATTGGGGTGAAATAAGTTGAAAATGTTTTGTTATTTTTACACAGTTGCAACAGCAGCTGAAAGTCGTATCTGGCAGGGAAGAGAATGGGGAAAGGAGTGAAGTGGATGCCTGAAAGCTTAATTCTTATCACTGTAAAGCGAAACCTTCTTGTAAATTCAGGCAAGAGCTGTACATCATGCAGACAAATATTTGCCATTCTTTATACGGGCTGGATTGGAACTATCTTCAAGTATGATTATGGAGGAAGGCTGCGAAGGACAAATAATGTTTCCATATTTCTTCTGCGAATCTGTCATACACTGTTCTTTGAAGACCAATTCTATTTGTCAAATTCAATCGGAAACGACCTTGTCCTGAGCCATGTGAAGTATATCTGCAAGTTGACAGAATTTTTCTTAATTGCGTTTTGTTTAAATCAGTTGCCATGAGAAAGTAGAAAGCTTCTAGTGTTTGTTTGTATACATCTCAATACTTAATCAGGTTATTCAAATGTATTATTTTGTTCATACAGATTTGATCTTGTACATGTTGGTAGAAGCTTTGTATTTATGAAAATTATGCAACTTTCACTCATACTGCAATTTGGAATTCCACAACTATTAGAAAATGGCAATTAATGAATGGACGAGCATAAATTTACCCTTCTCTCTTTATGGATTTTTTGATTGATGATAGATAGTACCGACTAATGCCCTCGTTGTCAATGGTGCCGATGCTTAAATTAAATGTGAATATTTCTCTTTCATGTAAAGGTCAATACATCATGGATTGAAGGAGTACAAGTTTTCGCCGGATTGGAAAGATGGAAGTTGATCTCAGTGAAAGACAGCAAGAGAATACAAGTGACAGCGACAGAGTCCCGGGAACTCTGTTTGGTCTTTGCGTATGAGTAGAGTATCCGCATTCATACGCTACGTTGTTTATTTATTTACAGAGATGATCAGCACACTTACGTAAGCTTAATATGGCTAGTGGCTAATAGAAAAGCTAATGAGGGGATGACGCTCCAGATGGAAACAGTTTTTCCCTTGCCACCTAAATCTTTTGAAGACGTTCATATGTACGTAGGCCTGGTTGATAAATCCATCTGCTTCAATTTCAAGGTTCGAAACCTAAAAAGTATATACATGTGATAGTGAATTACTTATTTAAAATTTGATCTAAAAATTACCAGTAAATTATAAATTACACCTTCTAATTTTGCGAAATAAATTAAATATTTTTTTTGTTTTAAAAATTAACTAATTAGTCTCTTTTGTTTATATATATATATATATATATATATAAAGAAAAAATAAATAATAGAAAAAAGATTGACAAGAAAAAAAACGTATTTTTAAATAAATTCATTTTAAATTAAATATGATTAACACTCATCAAAAAATTAATTAATTAATTTTTAAAACTGTTAATTCGTTTTGCAAAACTAAAATTCACAATTTATAATTTACTCAACAACCATTTATATCTCTTAATGAAAAAAAGAAAAAAGAAAAAAGAAACACGCACACATAAGCTGTCAACGTCGATGACCATATGATCGACCCACTCTTCTTAATAAGTACGAAGCTCAAGATTCTGTCTTCATTCCCTCTCTCCCTCCCTACTTTGATCACACTCTCTCCTCTTAAGCCCAATCTCTATACTCTCCTTCCGTCAATGATCACTCTGACCACAACTTCACTTTCTCCTTCTCTAAAACCTCCTGACTTAACTTCACCACTCACCAAACTAAAACCGTCTTTTTTTCATCACCCCTGTAGAACCCTCATCAAGGTAAAACAAAACACCGCTAAATTCACTTCCTTTTTACTTTACAAATCCCCCTCTGAACTGTTTTCGTTCTTGCTATTACAGAGGAAGAAGATTAACAGGGGAAAATGCAGGGCAGAGTTATCAGACGACTCCACGTTTGCTATGGCTATAGGTGCGTGTATGTTGAGCTCTTTGCTATTACCGAACACAGTTACTAAAGACGAGGAGGCGGAGAGTGATTCGGGTATTACTACGACTGATACGAGATTTACTGTTATGGGTATTATTAGTTTCATTCCTTACTTTAATTGGCTGGTAAGTGTGTCTCTGTCTTTGATTTTATTTTTTTGTTTGTCTTTTGGGTTTTTGGAATTTGGGTTTTGATAAAGTGTTGTCTTTGGTTTTTTGTTGGCAGGGTTGGGTTTTTGCTTGGCTTGATACAGGGAAAAGGAGATATGCTGTTTATTCTCTTGTCTACCTGGCTCCTTATTTGAAGTTTGTCTTTTTATTTTTTATTTTAGTTTTATAGTACCATGGTTACATTATTATCTTATAATTCCGGTTTTTAATGTGGTAGTCAGTTTTGTATTGATTTGCATCTTAGGTTGTCTATGTTGATTAGGAAGTGATAACGGGGTGCGACCATTTGGGGAATGAATGTCCCCATATGTTGTCTTGCTAGTTTGGTTATGAGTGTTGTTTTGTTGAATACAAAATGCAAACTCTGTGTTGAGTTTCAAGAGTTTTCATTTAAGATTTTCGCCAAATTTGTTAATGTTGTTTCGATGCAAGATATTTTAGTTTGATTGATATATTGATGAAGGACTTGTAATGTGAATCAGACTTTGTTGTTTTTTAACGGGTGAAGTGTGGAGAAAGCAATTTTTTGAGCTTAAGATATTGCATTGCTTGATGTTGTAAAAAATAATCTATAGTGACCACTTAACAACAGTTAATTTGAATGTGTTACTTGATTGGATTGGATACATGAATTTGATTGTGTGATTTTTTTTTTAATTTTAATTTTTTTATCTGGCTTAATAGATCAAATATGTCTCTGTCTCCTGAAGAGAGCTGGTTGCCTATTGCTAGCATTATTTTTGGCATTGTTCACGTTCAGGTATAACATCTATCAAACCATTTTGGTTACCTCCTGGTTTGGGGTTTCTCTACGTACTCTTATTGTTATGACAGATGAGTAGAATAAAGTATGGAAAATAGATTCTGACAGAAACCTAATGCTTCAAGTATTAGCAGAACTAACTAAGAGCTCGAACCCTAACTTAATGGTTTGGATACCGCCATCCAAAATATAAAGCGTTCATAATTTTGCCTCTTAACTTTTTGCAGCTAGAAGCAAGCATAAAAAGTGGAGATATTCAGGGATTTCAATTATTTAGCGAAGCAGCTAAGCTTCTTCCATTGCTGACAAAAGAGAAAGATATTCATTTGCGGGAGAATCAGGAACCATCAGAGGAGGTATTAATCAATGGAAGTCCATGTTATTTTTTGTTTCATTCTTCTAATGATTTGTGAGATTATAGTTGAGTTCTTACTCTCCACATTAGGGCAGAGAAGGAGAACACAAGAATCTGCCATCTACTGATGAGCAATCACGAAATGAGATTCGGAAGTGGGGAGTCCCTAGAAATCACTCAGAAAATCAAGCACACTCAAACGGAGGGTGGGATGATGATGATGAAGAGCAGAGGAAACAATAGAACAACAGCTTCATGGTTAACGTGGCTTGGTTACTTAAATAGATTGTCTTTTGATAGCAACGCCATGGTTCCTTCACGGGACATGACTTCTTTGAAGCATTTAGATTTGGAGGTTGAAAGATAGAGATATTCTCATGTTGATGTTTTTAATTAGGAAAACAGAGCGACAAATTTTGTTTTGTTACTTAAATGACAAATAGTTCCGATTATGAAGTACGAATACAATACTGGCTGGATGATAGCGTCTCCAACTGACATGACCTTGTGGTCGAAGTGGTAGAGACTGCTTTGCATTTTTTATGTTTGCGTTGATAACAAGTGGAGGAGAAACCTCGTTGCTTGCTCTTTAATCTGCTGTTACTATTTTTGCTCAAGTAGAAAAATCCTTAACTCGGGTTGCTGTTCTTCCTCTGCTGGATCTGGGGGCACAAGTATCATACTTTTCACAAATGCCAGCTAAATGATGGCAGCCTGACTACTGATTATGCGAGCGTGTTACACTGGCTGAAAATTTATTTGGGATAAAATCATTTCGTGTCTTTATACTACTTAGTTTTGGTTATTTTTACTTTTTTATACGGTTATGCTACAACCTAAATTTTATGCTGTTCAAAGCTGAGACACACTGACCTTTCTATTCAATTTTATTAATATGTTTTGTTAGATTGATCGAATTTCTTTAGTTAGTTAACTAGCATATATCTCTCGAGTTGTTGCAAGTGTGAACTATACAATATTCTTATGTGTTCATTCATATAAAATTTAAAATTTAAAAATAATTATTTAAAAGGATCATGCGAAAAAAATTTAGGATGAGTTATACAACATTCTTATATATTTATTCATACAAAATACAAAGTTTAAAAATAATTATTTCAAAAGATTATGCAAATTTTTTTTTAAAAAAAACATATATCTCATATTTTATTATAGGGTTAGCTATACGAAAAGTCTATAAAGTTGAGTAATATAATGTTGCTAATTAGATATTGTTTGATATAAATATGTATTTTATTAGAAATATATATAATAACTGATAATTAAAATAATGATATGATGGTTTTTTGAATTTTAGATGATTAATTTTTATCATATATTCTTCATCCGTAATTTTTTAATGAGATAGAGAGACCACCCAAAACAAAAAGACAAAACGACTTTGTCAAATCGAGAATTTGACAAAAAAAAAAAAAAAGAGAGAGATAAAATTACAAATGATAAAAAATTAAATGATCAAAACAAAATAAAGATCATAAAAGAAGGATTAAAATAAATAAAAAAAACTTTCATTAAAAGCCAAAAAAGAAACTTATAAACAATAAGAGTGTGAATAGTTTTACTAAAAGCCAAGAAAAAAATATGTATTATAGGGACAAAAATCAAATATAATAAAATTTTAATAATCAAAATAAAAAAGTTACAAAACAGAGACTAAAATAAAAATTTAATATTTATTATAGGGACAAAAAGGAAATTCAATAAAATTTTAACAACCAAAATAAAAAAAATTATAAAATAGGGATTAAAATAAAAATAAAATTCATTAAAAGCCAAAAGGAGCTTAAAAATGCAACAAGAGGGAAAAAAATGATTTATTATTGAGCTAAAAATTAAATATAATAAAATTTTAATGACTAAAATAAAAAAAAGTTATAAAATAGGAACTAAAATGTAAAATTTATTAAAAGTTAAAAGAGAGACTTAAAGCAGCAAGGGAAAGAGAAAAAAAACGTGAAAATGAAAAAGCTACAGTACTTTCTCGTTTTGTTTTTGTTTTTTTTTTTTTTTTGTAATATTTACCAATCATTATTCTCTACTCAAGTTTAAAAAAAATATTATTTTTTTAAAAAATAATCCTCACTAATTGTGTGTGTGTGTGTTTTTTTTTTTTTTATATATATAAACACAAGCACAATTAGTTAGGATTTTTTTTTTCATTTTTTAAGTAGTAATTGATTATTTTACATTATTTCTAATTTTTTTTTAAACTGATTTTTCTCCTAAAATTACGTTTTTAGAAAATTAGTTTTTAGATTTGGGTATAGTTGGATAGACGTCTGTCAACTGAAAGAACTTCATCAATCTAGCAGAATAAGTTAGTGTTGAATGTTAGGGATGGTATCCTTCAATTTTGAACAGTATAAGAGTATAGTTTGCACCATACCTGGATGAATAGTACAAAAGATTTATTTCTCTAAACCCTTTTGGGAATTGTTCACAAGTGAGAGAGGCAAAAGCATACTGCTAGTTCACCTTAAATTCACTGCAATTATATTCCAATTATACAAATTATTACATTTTGATCCCCTAATGTTTCTACAATTATTATTTTAATCCACATCTTCACTATTCACAATTATTACTGTAATCCACAATACATTTTATTAGTGGGTTATTAATTTATGATATATTTATATATATATGGATTTTGAAAAAAAAATTTAAAGCATTAATATTTTATTTTTTAAATATATTATTATTATGAATTCTTCTAATTTTTAAATAAGAGTAGTGTAGTTGGATATATATATATATATATATATATATATCAATTTTGTAATCATTTTTATTCTAATTCGTTGACTTTAATATATTCCTTAAAAACTTAGGTTTTTTTTAAAATTTTTTTATTTATTTATGCTATGAACTCTTAATCTATTGGATATGATTATAGTATGTGTGTGTGTGTGTATCATTTATTTTATTGAAAATTAGCTATGTATCTTCACACATAATATCAATTATTTATTGTTTTTCATATTGTAAAATCAATTTTTCTCATATAATATAAGTTAAATAATATTTTGAAAGAACTGTCCAATTATTCAAATATAACCTTTTATGCTAATATTATTATTTTGTTAATAAATATATATAAATCAAATTTACTTACTTTCAAAAAAATAATCTTCCCATAAACATTACATAAGAATAAAAAAAAATTTGTTAATTTTTATATAATTTTTTATATCAATTGTTGCTTTATTTTTTCTACTTGACCTTATGAAAAAATTATTAAAGCATTTGTTTAAACTTTTATATTAAAATTTTTATTTATATTATTGTAAGTTTTTATTTAAGAATAAATGCATAAGGAAGAGCAAGTTAAGGTTTTTTTTTTTTTTTTTTTTTTTTTTTTTTCAAAATATGAAATTTAAGAAAAATATATAAAATTAAATAATTTTATTTGTTCAGTCTAGCTACAATTCCTCACAGCGTAGCTCGAGCAACCATCTTTATATATATATATATATCCCTCCTAAATTTTGGAACTCCTTGGAGTTTGCAAGTTGCACAAATGACCTAGGGTAGGACCTACCGCTCGACATTTAAGAACACTTGGATTGCTGCTTGGATATGAACTATACAATAATGTTTTAAGTCATTCGACATCTTCAATACATTACGAATTCAAGCCTGTGGGGACAACCGAGGTTTTGATGATTAAGTTAAATAACCGAACTATTGGTATTTCGTTTCCCAAATGAAGATACATTACACAATACTGCAAATGTAACAGAAATTAGGCCAAAACTGAATCCTGTCAAGAGGATTCACAGGGGAAGTAACAGTTCGTTTTAGATACACACACCAAATCAGACTGAATCCAAGCATCTAACCAGCATAAAAATGGCATGCTTTAAGAATGATTCAGAAAAGCATACACATTGCAGTAAACTGAAAGAAAGATAGGAAAGGAAAGGAATGATGTTGTGGGTTTAAAGAAGACATTTTTATGGCTTTAATAGATGAAGAATCAAAGTTGTTAATGGCGACTATGATACAGAGAATTCAGGGGTGGAAGAGCACAGTTTTTATTGTTGATTTTGTTGGTGCAATCTCATCAGTAGAACATTACATCCCGTTGCCAACGCAACAGATATTGGGCAATATCGAATCCAGCTGTGGGGATTCACTCTATAACAGTCCTTGAAGCTGATCTTTTCATAGGAAAGGGACTTAAAAGCCCCATCTTAAAGCAGAAATCTAGACTAACAGCAGCAAAAACAAAGATCAAAAGATTCCCTGATACATATATTGCACCATTAAAGGCATGTGACAAGAAGCTTTCAGGATTGAGCTCCAATGGCGGTCCTCCAGCTAGTGTGGCAAGACCTGCATTGTAAATCCATTTTCCTTATAAGAAAAACTGCCAAATTCTCGTATAATCCTTTGGAAATAATTTAAAAGTAATACCTTCCACAATGCCAAAAGCTGCAGCTGTACCCGTCTTCAGCTGAAAATTGTCCAAGTCTCTTCTTACTGCATATCGAAAGGTTAAACCGAATAATGCACAGCTAATGAAGGTGATCGCTGATGGAAGTATTAGCTGAGCATTGCTGGTCACTTGAGTTAGAGAAATGGGGAGCCCAGCAAAGGTGCCAACAAGTGCAGATACAAAACCTGCCTTTATGGACTCCAATCTCTCTTCATTTCTGTTAATCTCCTCGCTTTCTAAAGCATCTCCATCTTCATCATTATTAAGCGACAGCGAACGTTCTGCTTCTTCAACCATGGTTCTTGCCTCTAAGATCTCCTGCTGACATTCTGCAATCTTGAATTCAACCAAAATCAAACATTAAAATCCATAACCATACACTGTTTGACTAAATCAATTCCAAACATTAACCCGCTGTCCAGGCCAATAGACAGACTAATCTGCTTATAACATTATATCTGAGAATTACATAAAAGTGATAATTGAAAAAGACAGTAACAACAACATCAAACAAAACAGCAAATTCCAAACAGTAATTCTGCAATAGAGCATTTCAAATGAATCAGTTCCCTTTTAATTTATACAATAAACTTCGAAATCTCATATTCACTAGCCAAATTATGCCAAGATGATTACTTTTTGTATAATCACAAGAAAGCCCACAATATCAAAATCCCATTTACAACAGCTCAAGAACATGCTTATAGAGAGAGAAAAAAAAAAAAACAAATAAACATAAAATTAAAAAAAAAAAAGCCCAAGAACATGATTAGAGAGAAACAACAGACCTCAGAAGCTCTAGTTTCAAGCTGGTTGATGTAATCCCTCAATTGTTTAGCCTCAAGTTCCTGTCTTTCAATCTCAGCAAGCTCTCTTTTAGCCATTTCCACTCTTTGTGATGCCTTCTCTAACCCATCAAGCAAGGCCCTATTCTCTTCTCTGTTTAAAAGTTCCTCTACTTGCTTGTCCACCATACCAGACAATGCATCCTTCAAATTATTACCACTACTAGGTTCTCTCTCTTCTGAGCTATTGCAGCTGCATTTTATTACCAGAAGAGGCTTGCGAAGTGAAGTTGCTCTGTTGAAGACTGTTGGACATGTTAGAGATGTGATACAGAAAGGTTTTGTGAGGAGGGGCTTGGAGTTTGGAGAAAGGATTTTGATGGGGTTGGTTCTTGTGGCCATGTATGTCTATGACCATGTGGACGAGAGATGGAAGAAGGAATTGTATATAAAGGCGCTTCTGAAAGATTGATGATATTTTGTGAGTAAATTATAAATTAGTCTCTCTAGTTTTTAAAAAGAATTAAATAGTCCTTATATTTTTAAAAACAAATAATTAGTCTATGTATTTTTAAATCTATTGTAATTTAATCATTTTTCTTCTATTTCTATTTTTTTTAAAAGAAAAATAAATAAAAATATGGAAAGATTTGTGCGAAAAAAATATATTTTTTAAAAAATAATATTAAATTAATTATGATCTTCACTAGTCAAGAACTAATTAATTAGTTTTAAAAATAAAAAAATTATTTAATTTTTTTTGCAAAATTAAATGGAATAATTTAAAATTACTTGATATCTTTTTATTGATCTTGGAATATTTGCAAATTTTTCTTAATATTTTTTTTTTTGGGAAAAACTATATTTTTTTCTTTATAAATTCATCAATATTTCACTTCTACATTCATAGATGGAAATGTTTTAGTTTTTCCTTATACTGTTTTAAAATTTTTAATTTTATCGTTTATTATTAAATAATTAACAAAATTCTCCCCTTTTGTTATTATTTTATTTTACTTTTTTCCCCTCAGATCTCCATGTATTATTTTCTCATAAAAACACTCGATAAGCTATTCAATAAAACTAAAAAACAAATTCAAAAGTACACTATTTAATGATTATTGAAAAATTTGAACTTTTTGGAAACAAGATGATTAGCATTGAAAAATCTCAAATATAAGGGTTGAAGTTGAACATTTATTAATATGTAGGGGGAAATGAAGTTTAAACTTTTCTTTTTCTTCTTTTCACTCCGTAATTTTTTTTGTTTGTGCTATTCCTAATCATTACATGCAGCAATGCTTGGAGGAACTAACATACAGTCCTTCTTGAAAAATTATTAATTGTAAATAAAATAAAATAATATTATATATACGTGAGTAAATTAGCCATTTTAGTTTTAAGAAACAAATTAAGTAGTCCTTCTATTTCAAAAACTATTTATTTAGTTATTTTTCTCCTTTATGTTTTCTGATTTGTTTTTTCTTAAAAATAAATAAATAAAGTTATGGAATGATTAATGAGAAAAGAAGTTATTTTTTAAAATAAAATATTATTAAATTAAACGCGATAGACACCGATTAATAAACTAAATAATTATTTTTTAAAACGAAAACGATTAATTAATTCGTTCAAAACTAGAGAAACTAATATATATATATACACATCAATAATGTTTTCTTTGAGTGTAATTTTTTATTTTTTTTGGGTGTCATTTAAAGTTGTAAAAATCACTTTATATTACTGATTTATTAATAAAAAAATTTATCTTTGACAAAAAATAATAAAACAAACAATTTCAAGCTCACCAAAAATATAAAGAGAGATGATAGGAACCCATTTATATTCCCATTTCCATATCATTTTAGATTGCTCAACTATTAAAGAATGAAATGTGAATTCTTATTCCGGATATTTTATTTTTATTACCAAATAACATCTAACATAGTGTTTGAAACAAATGAATTCCATAAAATTTTATGGAATTCATTTGCAAATTAATGATATCTTGTTTGGAAGCTTCAATTTTAAAAATTGCAAATGAATGAATTTCAAATCAATGAATTGATATAGCTTTGTCCAATTCCTTGCCCATGAGGAGTTATTTGCAAATGAATTCCATGCCAATTGAGAAATATTTTTATTTGGACAAATATGCCCTCTATCCTAACCTTTTGCTCATTCGTTTTTTATCTCGTGAGTCGTCTCTCTCGCACATATTTCTTCTCTCTGTTGTGCCTCCTTTACTCGCTGGCGAATTCCTCATCCTCATCTCGGCTCCTTTGCTCACTCGCTTCTTCCGATTTGCTCACATTTTTGTTCACTTTCCTTTTTTTTTCTTTCTTTCATCCGGTAGTGCGAGTTGGTTTTTCCTTCTTTCATCTAGCATTAATTTTATTTGGTGTGAGATGTTTGCATGTTGTTTCTTCTTATTGATTATTGCAAAAGTAATGTGTGAAGTTAGGTGTAGTAATTTCATCTAGGAGACTTTATCTCTAATTGCTTTAAATTAATTTTTCATCCGTGAGGCGTTATCTAGGAGTAGTAGTTTTTCATCTAATTGCTTTGAATTAATGTGATGTATTAACCGTATGTATAATCATATCCATTTTGGTCTATGTATCCGGTACTCTAGATGTTCTAGACTTCCATTTAAATTTTATATCTTCATTTTTTGTTTATAGGAAATAAGCACCTTCGATTGGGAGAATATCCGAAAATCCCGCATAAAATGTTTGAAATGAATTTCGAAAAAAGTTTAATAACCGTAATTTTTATAATATGTAATTTTTGAAAAATTATTTATTTAATAGATAACAATTGTGAGAGAAATAATTACCGAATATAAATGCAAACAACTATGAACATAGCACTATTTCTTATTTTTTTTTTTAAAAAAAAGATAAAAATATGTAGTGTAGGAAAAGAATAAGAAGCAAACTTGATCTATTAAGTCAACCAAAAAAGCAAAATTTTCAATTAATAGCCAAATGGATTGTCCTTAATTTTTGTAAGGCTTGATATTTAAAAACACTCGTATAACTTACGTTTTGATGTTAATTCTTCTCATTATACATTTTCTATCTCTTTTTTATTTCTTTTATCAGTTTAGCTTACAAATTTTTCTTTTGATGAATTTTTATAATTTTTTTTATAACATCTTAAAGAAAGAAACATAGACTTGAAAGTGAGGAATAATTGGGCCAATCATAATTTATTAAGTTACCGCAATTTGTACTTGCACAAAACAACATCTAATTTTTGTTCAATAATTTTAAGATATTGATAGTGGTAATTAGCTTTATAATTAATAGCAACTATTGGTTCACTTATCTAAATTAAGACATTGATGTTTTGTTGTTTGATTTTGTGTTGAAATCGAATTGTTAATTTTTCCTTTAATTTCCTTGATTGTTTGATAATATATTCTGATTTTGGACTTCTCATTGCTTTTTCTTTGTGTTGTATTACCGTTTAGGAATTATGAATGACTTTCAAAGGAATGCAATAGTAACTTTAGTTTCATATGCTCGGGTATTTAGTGGTCTTACTTTGGCTATATCAAAATAGTGTGGAGAGGCCACAATTAGAAACTAATCATGATCGATATCATGTTAGACAAGAGTTGATGAGGCAATTAGAAACAAATAGAAATTCTCTTACTCGTATTACGTATGAACATTAATGCATTTAGAACATTAGTCTACATTTTAAAACAATGAGGGCCATTAAAGGACACATAATATAGTTGTGTTAAGGAACAAGTTGCAAGATTTTTGCACATTTTATCCGGTAATGTACAAGCTCACATGGCAAACTTTTTTAGGTGTCGGAGTGGTGAGACAATAATTTGTCATTTCCACCAAGTGCTTAGATCAATCATTTCACTTGAAGATGTGTTTTTGGTATAACCTAATGGATCCACAATATCTCCACAAATATTGAATAGTGAAGGAAGGTTATATCCTTATTTTATGGTAGTATTACAAACTTAGGCTTATAAAATCACAATTTGTTACTTGGTGTTATTTATTCTTAAAAGTGCTAATTATTCCTTTTAGATTTTTAGAATTGTGTTGGTGTTATTGATGGGACACATATTCGTGTCAAAGTTTCAAAAGCGGACTCACCAAGATATAGAGGCGGAAAAGGAATACCCACAATGAATATATTAGCAGCATGTGATTTTGACCTCAAATTTACTTATGTGTTATTTGGTTCGGAAGGATTAGCATCGGACTCAAGAATTCTAGAAAATGCTATGAATAGGGATAAAAAGTTGAAAGTTCCCCAAGGTAATTACAACAATATCCCCATATAACTAGTTCAACAAACATGAATAATATTAAATTAAGTGATTAATCACACATGAATTGTGTTTATACATCGTAGGTAAATTTTACCTAACCGATGCTCGGGTATCCTTTGAGATCGGGATACATCAATCCATATCGAGGTACGCGATACCATTTGAAATAGTACTCTCGTTCTCCACCTGAAAATGCAAAAGAATTATTCAATCTTTGACGTGTATCATTGCACAATGCAATTGAAAGGGCCTTTGGAGTGTTGAAAAAAAGATTTCCAATTATAGCTAGTGGAACAGAGCCAAATTACGATGTTGATACCATTTCAAAAATTGTGATTGCTTATTGCATTTTACATAATTTTCTCCTTATGTATGACCCCGATGAAGATATATTACGGGAGGTAGATAATGAGTTAATGCAAAATTTATTTGCAATAGATAATAATGATCGATTGTCGAGAGTCGTAGATGCTTAGACAAGGAGAACAATTAAGAGATAGCATAACCGACCATATATGAAGTGATTATATATCTAAAGCCTAGGTCATGTCATTTATTCTTGACATGTATTATGTGATGAAAAAGTTACTAATTTTATTTTAATTTATTTTTTATAAACTAAAGAGTTTTAAATTTATTGTTATATGGCATATATTTGTTAAAAGCAGATGGCTACACCAAGTGGAAATGATGTTGAGATTGTTGGTGATGTTGAAACGATGGATAAGTATCTTAGGTGGCCAAGAGAAATGGATCAAGTTCTTCTTGATTGTTTGAAAAATGAAAAAGCCAAAGGTAACAAAGATGAGAAACAATTTACCAAAGAAGCTTGGAAGGTGGTTGTCGATACTCCTAACTTGGAGTTTAAGAAGATTGGCAAAAAAGTTGACAAGGAAAAGAAGGTTAATAGATTGAAGACTATCCAAAAACTTATGGCCCTATCGATTGAATTATTGGACAAAAGTGGATTTGGATGAAATGACGTAACAAAAAAGTTTGATGTCTGCTCCAAGTGTGTGGGAAGGTGTTATAAAGGTAAGTTTATAATAATAATAGTGTGAGTTGGAAATGATTTTTATGGATGGATAAAATA